ATCGGCTGTTGCTGCCGGAACAGAGAAACTTCCATGTATTGTCCTTTACCATCATAGGAGATAGTGCTTACATGAAAATACAGAATTGTATCCTCAGTTGTTGAAAACTGTCACTGCTCCATCCAATCCAAATGAGCTATGGTCTTTTACACTGAGAATATGTCCCTCCACATTTTTTTATTTAGTATTATGCTCTGTTCAGGAATAGGAGAGCATAGACGAATTATCGATGTTTCTGTCTAGTCGACAGGACACCTTCTGCCTCTGGGTATCCTGGTACTGTCCATTAAACTAGTGCTCACTAACATTCTTCCTGTCAGTTCTGATGTCTGTCTGGGCTTTTTTGCTCTTTCGTTTATTGTTTTAACAGTTTACTGAGTTTTTATAACTGTCAGTTGGATGTCAACTTGAAGAAACTATGGGCCAACTAAACCTGCTCCTCTTAGCAGGCTTGTTGAGTGTATGCATACTTCAAGGACTTTCTTTCACAAAGTCCATTGCATGCTGACAGTTTTCAGCCTGGACTTCATTTGTGACCCACAAAATCCTTCCTTCCTTCATTTATTTTGCATACTGAGTATGCAGTGGCCCTCTCTGCTGCCTGTCAATCTTCAATTCAAGCTTCCCTTTCCAACTAATTAACTCCAACATACAAATGACCAACGAGCAATAAACCATAGAGGATGGGGAGAAAGCTGCTAATGCAAGGAGGAAGAAGAAATTCACCTTCTCTTCATGCAGGCTTTACAGCTTAGAAAATGGTTGACCTGAAGACCAGGTGACTTTGACTATGCATTGATTATAGGATGGAAAGAGAGCTCTGAACATCTATCCAAACTTTGCATGACATACTACTTTCCATTTCATTAGACCTTCCAGATTTCAGTTAATTTACTCTCTATTCCTAGCTACCTTAGGTTGGCCAAGTTGGGAAATCTATAAACCATCAAAAAATAGGTTCACACCTTCTAATTTTACTGAAATATATTGGATTGTGACATGATTTTTGGAAGAACAGAATGGAAACCCTGCCAATGTCTGGCATAATAGGGGCTGTTCTTTCTAACAAGAAGAGCTGGCACGAACCCCTCCTCCTGGGACAGATTGTTCATTACCGCACTGAGATGATGGCTGAGGAAACACCACTAGAGTATAGGTTGTGCACAGATTTGGCAGGAAGTAATGGACCATTTGTCTCTACTTCAGTTTGAAGTTCATCCTGTACTAGCAGTGACTACAATTTACCACCATGTTGTGTAGCTGTGTGAAATTAAATGGTGGTGTCCCTCTACCTCTCCAGCACTATGTGCAAAGAGACTGCTACAGAAGACAAGAGACTTGACTCAGATTATGGCCAAAAATTCAATACACATTAATTGCACCTAGGAAGTCAACTCAGATGATGTGACGTGACAGGAGTCTGTGACAATGCTCCCTTTTTATATGGGAGAAGGGCAACTATTGGTGTGAATCCCAATCTGGCTAATTTTTTAATGGAAGACTAACAAATAATCCTTTATTTTGTCCTATAGATGCAAAAAAGATCCATGCTATTCAATGTTATGACTCAAATATTTGCAAATAATTATAAATCCAGCCCCGTTGCTGGTTTAAACCCAAGTAATGCACATTTACCCGAGTTTCCCCTCAGCTGAGGTCATGTCTCCCAGTCCTTCCATCTTCACTTCCATGAATCTTCTTTCATCTTTCCTCTTTCTAATAATATTCCAGTGTCCTAAAGTGACACACAACATATGATGCAGCACTGTTACCTCCATGGTACAAATGTGCAAATTGCTGGTGTAAACAGTCCTCCGTGTCGAATTCAGCACTTTCCACGTGCCCCTGTAGCTCTGAGACAGCCAAGCACTAAGCTGGTGTTAGGCCCTGTACAGAGGATCAACAGCCACAAGGTTTATGTTCAACAGGGGTGAATCTGAAAAATAATGTTCCCGTTTCTGTCCCTTAATAACCACCCATCATTGCTTCCTTCCTTCTCTATGTGTGTCTGGAGAATTTTATGGCCACAGCTGCTGCAAGCCTCCATTTCCCACACCACTCCTTAAGGCTTTCTTTTACTTCTCAGCATACTGCCCTCTGACACTTGCTTAAGATTTTGCTCCCTCAACACAGTTGACAAAGTTAATAAGTTACCTGCTGATGAAGTTAAACTAACTGGCCAGGAAATCTCGGTTTGCAGTTTCTAGTAGCAAATAACAAAGAGATGAGTTTTGATTTAGTTAGCTACTTCAGCTGGAATTGATCTACTGTCCCAATTCTCCCTGAGTTCCTTTATCACAATGAAGGCAGTTATAACATTCATTAGTCTTTTAGTTTCATTACAAGACTTGTATTTTTGTTCCTCTGTCTTTCCGATTTTTCTTCCTACACATGTTGTTTCTACAAACCACCAACCACTTTGACGCTTCCTATGTTCTGTTTCACTCTTTTTTGAAATTAGGTTCATGAAAAGTTGCCAGTCAGTTACATTGGCTTTGTTCTTTTCTATTGATTATTCCAGTCCTTTTAGCACATTCCAATTGCTTTAACGTACGCTGGAGTTATTTTTAGGGACTTCCATTTGCATAGTCACCCTTCTCCACTAATAACCCTAAAGCCATGAATGGACCTGGCTGCACAACCTCCCTCAGATTCGCTCTATTCTGGACTGTTGGCTTTATTGAGAGGCTTAGATCTGAGGTAAGCCTGTAAATCATTTGCTGTGTTTTGATGCTGATTACAAATATTGGCATTCTGTCACCATACAAATATAAGGAGGTCAGAGTGGTCATACTGGGTTAGAAAAATATCCATCTAGGTCAGTACACTGTCTCCGACAGTGGCCAAAGGCAGATAGTTAGGAAATGAAGGGTACTCGAAACGGCAAGGACATAGAGTACCTCTCCTAGGCACTCTCTTGGCCTCCATCTATTTGCAGCTTGGGAACTTCTTTGGCCAGGAGTCTACTTACTCAGTATTTTCAAAGGGCTTTTCTTCCATGAACTTGTCCAGTCTTCTCCTCTTTCCCATGCTTCACCTTACAACACATGCACAGTGAATCAGTAATGCCATATGGTGAGATCGATATAGAGTTAAAATGCCACTCAGAAATAGGAATTGTGAGTAGAATCCCATTTTTAAGTGTATTACTTCTAAACAGAATGTGATTGCTTTCTTTTTTTAAACATACACAGGGCAAACATTTGAACTAATCAAAACTAATTATTACTGTCTAGGCATGAGAAAACATATCAGCACCATTAATGTGCTTTTCTTCCGAATGCCAGGATGTAATTTAAAAAACGTTGAGTTACAACAGCCCCGTGCATGGCGAAAAGCACAAGACAAACATGCCCTCAAGGAAGCTGGGATTTCAGGATGTATTCTTGTTTAAAATCAGAGAGGCTCCCCACTGGAGGAGATTTTAGGGACTTTACTGCAGACTTTTCTGAATTCAGCCAGAGTGGCCACCTGAAATTCCCTCCAACAACCCTCTCTCACTAAAAGTCGTGTATTCCACTCAGGTTTAGCCCCTCCAACTCTACTTCTTGCTTCATCAGAGCTCTTACCGAAAGATCCCTTGTCTGTGCTTCCTCCCACTGTCAAAAGGACCAGGTGGAGGAAAGTCAAAGAGTACAACATCTTCAAAGATGGCTGCCTGGTCATCTAAGACCACATACTTCTTTTCTTCAACAGCTATATAAATCCCCCAAACCTTGTAATCAGCTAAAGATAAAAATAACACAAATCTCTTCATGGTCTTCATAACAACATTCAAATTGACATACTATCACTACTTAATACTTCATTTTCCCTGGTGTCTTGGATATCAGTTATCTATTCAAACAAGTTGTTATTAAACAAGCATAAACTTCCCCTAATGAGGTTGTAACACTAGAATACTCATGTTTACAAAGGCAAAAGGAAAATGGTTAGTGGAATTCATTTTGGGCTCTGTGCCTAGTTTCTTATACTTTCACATTATTTTTCCTTGGATATTTCTTTGGCCATTTTTCCTTTATACACTATTTATATAAGACTGCCTAGAAATGCCTAGTGTTCTTAACCAAGTACTACTTTGTCTCCTCCAAATCCTTACTAATATGGCATATTCTTTAAACACCATGCAGGAAAAAATACATGGAGCATATATATGGTTTCAAATATCTAAAAGGCAAAATATATTAAACTTCTAAGGAAAAGAAATACAATTCAATATCTCTACAATAAGCCAATGGTGTTAAACTTCAGTATGAATAGCAAGGAAATAACAGAGAAATCAAAGAGTTAGCTGAGAATGGTTAGTCATTGAGATGTAACAAATATTTGCTAAATTTTCTATTTATTTTAGAAACGTGACAACTGCTAAAAGAGAGTTGTACAGTCATCGAAGCACTGGATATGTTCAGATTTCTATTGAGATGTCTCTTTAGAAAGCAAAACAGGCTTACCCATGACTATGTTTAAGACATATGATAGCGTTATCACAGATCAATGTTTTTCCAGCCTGTAACACACAGATTCCTGACAATCCTTATCCTCCTCCTACGAGGGTCAGCAAAAGGTGAGATAAAAAAGCCTGTGGGCAGAAGCCTTACATTCAGTGCATGGAAGGATGCACCTCCACCATGAAATTTTAAGATCATGTATCAAAAAAATATTCAAACCCACTGCATTAAATGAACGGTATTTTAGTAACTTCACGGTTACAAAGGTTTCTTCATGAGTATAGGGAATCCCTAGATTAACTCAGATAAAAACAAGCTTATGTAGGTAAGACATTTCAGTAAGGCAACCAGCACACTTCAAAAATGACCGCATAAATATAAATATGACACCACCAAATATGATGTCATTTTTCTCAGTGGAACTTCTCAAGTTTGAGGAAATCCAACCACGTCATCGTGCTCAGCTAAAGAAATGTGTTTCAGATGTGCAGACTAGTGAGCTACAAAACCAAAAATCAGATTCTGGAAATTTCCTTCCATTCCTAGAGCTGTCTTCCAGATTTCACTCATGTACCTTTCAGCTGCTTTTGTAATCACATTTCATTGCTGTGAAAATGCTTAAGCTGAAGTTGCAAAGTGCAGCACTGATGTAGGCTGCAAAGCACTTACGATTAGGAGACTGCTCAGAAAAGGAAGCAATGTGATCATCAAGTGAGGTCAAGCAGGTGCAACCCAACAGAGCTCAGTAAACGAGTCTATTAATGACAAACAGATGGGATAAGAAGCAGTCACTCAATTTAGCTGCACTGGTATTACAGGGTTAGTAAAATACACAAATATATATTTACAACTCTCTAATCCCTTCTTTCAAAGTATCTTCTTCAGAAACAGCTTGGATTAGCAAACAGATTTCAGTCTTCACAATCACATTGAATTAATATTCACTGTCAACATGTAACAGGCTGTATTGCTGTATCAGTTTTAGATGCAGCTAGATAGCTTTCAACTTAGACTTTATACTGCTTGCGAGTGGCATATAAACCATTAAAACATGTTTTTTACAGATTAAGGAATTAAAAACTAATCATTAATAGTAATCTTTTGCCAAATATTATTATAGTGAGGCAAAACAGACTATCTACATGGTTTAGCAGAAAGAAATCCCAATTTATACACAAAATTGATCTCCTTTGTTTTCATTTCAATGTTTGGATCATGTTATATAGCAACAGATCTTCCTATTATCACATTTATCCCAAGAACAAGACAATATAGCTACTAGTTATTGATCTGGCTGGTAAATCTACACCATAGCCACCATGCAAACAGGTAACTCTGGTTGGTAACACTGCCCAAACCACACTTGCTCTTTGCAGTTCAGTAGTAGGCACAGCCTAACATTAGTCTAGTGTTTCTTTGCCATTACAGTGCCACAAGAGACCAAGTAAAGAGAGAGGCTAACCTCATCCTGCTTTAGGGCCTTGCCCAGAGCTCTCTTAGAATTGTCCTGGTTTTCAGCTGCGGTAAATTCTCGCCAGAAGCTGGGAGGGGACACAGTCAGCACAGCTGACCCAAAATAGCTAAAGGGATATTCTATACCATATGATGTCATGCTCAGTATATAAGGGGGTGGGGGGTGGCACTGGTCAGGAAGGAGGGATTGCTGCTCAGTGATGGGCTGGGCATCAGGTTCTGGACAGTGAGGAAATTGCATTGTGATCACTCGCTTTGCATAATCTGTTATCAGTACTGTTGTTATGTCCCTCTCCCTTTGCTGTCCCAGTGAACTGTCCTTATCCCAACCCATGAGTTTTACCTTCATCTTCCAATTCTCCTCCCCATCCCACCGGGGGAAGGAGTGAGCCAGCAGCCCCGTGGTGCTGAGCTGCTGGCTGGGGCTGAACCACAACAAATCTATTTCCATTTCCCTTTTGTTGCTGGAACAGCCTTATTCTTAGGGAATAAGACAGGCTGAGATAGGTCAACCCACGCTTTTCCTGGTTTAACAGTCCAGAAGCAGCATGCAAATCAAGACTGAAGAAGAAATACACAGACAGTCAGCAGAAGATAAAGTATGGTACAAAATAACAAGCTCATTTTCTTTTCCAGGAGGACTACAGCAGATGAGAACAGCTGCAGTATGTATCTTTCCAGCAGCTCTGTTCTCTACGGTCTTTGGTTTCTCCTGCATCACTAAGCCTAGATGCAGTACACTGTCACACTTCCTGTGTCATCCCATAAGAAAAAAAAAAAAATTAAAAAAAACCACCAGGCTTTTATCAGGACTGGCAGCTTTGATAACTTACCGCTTTGGTGCACAGGAACTATGACCAATCTAAGAAATCCTTCAGTTCTGTGACACACCAGCTCCCTAATAGATGCTTACTAAGTATCATCTTGCCTCTTCCTCCCTCAAGCTGTTTTTTCTGTAGATACCAAGATAATATTACCTGTAAGGATAAATCACAACCGTAACACATGCTTCTTTAGAAGGCTTTCAGTTTTCCCATAATTTTCTCTATTGTTTCAGAGATATTAAACTCAAGACTTGATGATTAAAAGCCCTGCAGTCCAGCCCTATGAGACAGTGTACAACTGTGGCACTCTGAACAGCCATATGCAGTGGTTTCATCCCAGCATATGCTCCTAACCCTAACACTGCTACCAAGTTTAATGAATAAACCTTCAGAAGAAGCTCTTACAGTTTTTCTCCAGTTCTTATGCCATAGGAACCTAGACATGGAGCTTTTAATTTTATTTTTTTTTCATGTCTTTTATGTGTAGGTCTTCGGTGAGGAGCAATGATCTCATCACGAATTATGTGAGAACAGAAACAGGCAAGTTATTGTCAGGGTTGTGATAATCTTGAAATATTTTTTATTCAGCTGCGCCTAAACAAATCATTCCAGACAGATACAGTTGGGTTCCAGAAATCTACAAGTATTTAGAGAGGATAAGACAACAATAAACTAAGGATGACAGTGTGTCTTCTTAAAAATCGTATACAAAATACTGAATTTAATACTTCCATTAGCTACAAAAACACATCAAAATTTCAGATCGTATATACAAGATATCTTTTAAGAATGGATCACTGATATTTACAAATGAAGACATTTTACATGTAGAACTTGGTCTCTTAATTAAAAGAGCTTTGACATTTTCAGCCTTTTTATACTGTACTGAGAAGATGGTTTTAAGATAAAATAGTCTTATCCATTTTCTTTGAGGTATATATAAACGCTGCTCTTTTTCATTTTGCAAACTAAAAGGACATTTAAATACAGCAATTAAGTCCTGGAAACTTCCATTTAAATAAAACACCTCTACAATGCAAATCCACCATAAAAGCAAAGTATTAAAAATATATCAGAACCATTCAGCAAAATGTCTGGAGAGATATTTTGGTAAGCTATAGTTTTTGTTCAGCTGCCATCAGCTTTCTCTTGGAAGATGGAAGTATGTTCTGTCAGCAGTCCGTACTCATCAGATTCAGGTTCTAATTATCCAAGTAGAATGGAGATCAATTTTGCCACCACGTGTACATTGAGGCTGTTTCCCAGAAGACGGTAGCGTTGCTTTATTGTTACTTTGTCAGGAAAGCCTAAAACAAACACATATAGTGCAGTGTCATTACTCTGGGTTTGCTCCTACCTTTTAGTCTCCTCCTTTCTTCAGTGAACAGTTCTTAATGCAGTTATCACAGATTGCAGCAGGGTTCACCCCCACCCCTAAAATCCACAAAGTTATGAAAGTAATTCCCAACCAGTTCACTGGATTTGGATTGGTTCTTCTATTACCAGTACTGCCACCCCTAAGGGTGAACAAGAAGCCTCAAAGCACTGCTCAGTCGTGTAACTAATGCCCATCTACCTTCTCTTCACATACCATCCAGCAGTCTCAGGGAGGGGCAGCAGCACCTAAAACACTGCACAACCGCTACTCTAGAGAACATCTGGAACAGAGGAATATGGCCACAACGGAAGGAAAACAGGATGATTCTAAACTGCATTTCTCAATAAGCTTTATATTGTCCTTCCAGTCTGAGCCCCTCTAACCAGTTGAGGCAAATCAAATGAGTCTCACAGTGCAATATACCACCGGTACAGATTAAGCTATGAGCAAGGCCTGTTCAGTGAGTGATCAAGCAGCTGAACAATTTCCCATGTATTCAATGCTGATCCTGTCAAATGCACTCATAAATACAGACAGCACCTAAATGTCCTTCACATGGTAAGTGCATGGACTGGCAGAAAGAAGGAAGGCCCAGAAAACAAAATAAACTGGTCCAAGTATTGTGAAAGGGCTGTGCATTGAGCACACAAAGGCGACCAAGCTTCTGAGAATGAAGAAGTTGCCAAGAGCCAGCTGGTCTGCTGTCACTGTCCTTGCCCTCCACTCTCAGCTTACTCCAGCTGTGAGCTAAAGTGCATTTGCTTCAACTTGAGTGAAGGATGAACAGCAGTGGTGATTCAACTGTTAGGGTTGTTTGCTAAGCTGCTGAAAATTGATCACATTCAATTATTTGATCATTCCCTAAGAAAACCTAACTTTGACACCGAGGTCAGATTAGCTTTAACGCATAAACACACCGTGCATGCAATTAGTGATATATATGTTCTGAAGTTTTCATAGGACTTCAGAAAAATCCTCTTCCAGGGATTGCTCAGGAGAGAACATGGTTGGACAGTTGCTGAGCCAAGGGTGGAAAGCTGAGGAGGTGGTGTCTGGGAGGAGTTGTTCCATCCTTCTCTGCCAGTTATTAATGCCTCGAATGTGGACTGCTTTGGTAAACACAACTTCTGCCAGCTCTATCCACTCTGCCCAGCTTCCTGGCACTCACATTTGGGCAACCGTTCTCTCTCTTTGGAACAATCACTTGCACTCCCACACATACTTCCTTAGATGGAGTTTTCACATTTAATCACTGAGTAAGGTACAGAATCTAACATTTTAAAAGAGCATAGAATATAAATATGTATTTATGCACACACAGACATGCACATGCACTTATAGCCCAAGAAGAGTTTCAGAGTTTCTCCTGCCTCTTGGCAGCTGAAAGCCTGAATTAATTTTCAGGGCTCACTGTTCCCTTTGTCCCAACCCTCCTCTATTTGCCTGTTAACATTATCTTGCACCTTCTATCTCCTTGGCTCAAGGGTAGCCTACATCAGAAGGACAGATTTAACAACTCAGTAGACTGGCACTTGCTGCACAGCTCTCGCTGTATCATTTGGGTCATGCACGCTACTTGATAACGTGCGGTCTTGGCAACGTGCACAACCACACAGTGTTGGCTTTCCACTAGGCTGCCATTTGTTTCCTAATAGCTTACATATATCACTAACAGGAAAAAAGGAAAAGGCATCCTGACATCACCCTCATGAAAGCAGGTCACAGGTGCAAAAATGCTCTGATCACTTTTAATGATATTGCAGTGGGACCCACAGTAGCGACTAAGACAAATGACTGCAGTATTTCATTGATCTATAGTGCAGTTACTATTTATACATTTAGATGTTAAAAGCAAAAATAAATCTGTTAATGTTAAGAACAAACAATGTTTTTAATTCTGGACCGCAATTTGTTAAAAGAAAGAACCATTTAGACACAATCATGTTTCTTCTGACAGTGCTGCAGCTAGTAACAGCATCTGTTACAAAGCTTCCTGACATTCTCTTCGTTTCCAGCTTATAGTTTTCTCATTCTTTAGCTTCTTGGACGAACAACATATTTGCAGTAGGTACATCTCCAAGCTTTCTATTGTTGAAAATTTCAGCCCAAATGTTGCTGTCACTACAGAACACAGGACTAGAGAAATTATAGTATATTTCTCTTTGAAAACACTGTACTTCACAATAATGACTTGAATTTTAACATGGGAGAAATGCTGTCAGGGAAACACCCTTTACTGTAGCCATAAATATAGCAACTTTAAAAACCAAAACAAAACCCATACCCTGGAAATCCTCAAAAGAAACTTATAGTACCTAAATTCACCAAAGATTTCAAGCAGCCTAAAGTTAAAAAAAACCCACAAAGTGTTACTTAAGTACAAAGTGGGAAATGTCTTAGATTAAACATATAGGAAAGAAATGTCAGACTTGTGACTCAGTGCACTGGAAAAAGCTTGTTCTGCCTATGAATCAGGAGTATATGACAGAAGAAGCCACTGGATGATACAGGCTTGTTTTATATGTAGTAGAAGTTGGAAGAGTAGTATAGTGAGGCAGGGAACTGCAAGAACTGTAAAGAAGGTCCCATGATTAATGCTGAAGGGTACTGCCCTCTGAGAGGTGGAATCTGTCCCTTTCCTCCCTCTGCAGTTCCCAGGTGACAAAAAGTTTGCTAAATGACTGCTTCATAGATGGTGACGATCTGGATGCTCCTCAAATTCAGAAGCCTGACTCATCTTGAGACTTCAGTTCTGGTTTACAAAAATATTGAAGCTCTCAGCTGTCCCTGAAGATAAACTCTCAACAGAGAAAGCATGGTATCATCCCAAGCACTCTGAAATAGTAAAAGTCAGGTTTTACAAACTGATCACCCTAAATGAATGGAGTCTTCCAAACATACAATTTCTACGTTGTCTCAGCAATATTAACTCTACTACATCTCTCAGTAATGTTGCAAAGACTGATTAAACATTTGGAAAACACAAGCTGCATTTTTAAATACAGAGAAAATGGGTGATTCTGTGCTCAAAAGGGAGCTTTAACAGCATGAGAAACCTATACAAGGCCAATCCAGCCCTATTTAGCTCAGGTTTCTTTACATCAGCCCACATCAATATGGAACAGAGCTGTGCTAAGAAAAAAGCTGTCTGCACAAAGCACAAATCTATTAAAGAAGAGAGGCTATGAAAAAAATCCTGCATGTTGGCATGTGACTCAACACAACACACTCCTGCAAATACAGGTAAGCTTAGTGCTGTCAACTCTAACGTTTGACTTTGCAACCTCGATAACATTCTCTGAATGTCACAATTTTGAATATAATTGAAAGTAATAAATGAGAAAACAAACTAGAACTGCAAAAGAAAGAAGTATATAAAAACCATTAGCACTCCTCGGAGCTCTAAGTCACTGAGGTAGTCGAAGAAAAATATAACAAATTACTCAAGGTCAGTGGTATCTTATTTTATAGATGCTTGTGTTGCTGAGAGTCAATAAATTGATTTGATGTGATGGCAGCAGGCTGGACTCCTTAGCAGGTAGTTAGCAGCTACACTTTCTCGCCTGCCTTTCTTTACAAAGGGAACTCTGGTGAATTTGTTTCAGGCTTAATTCTGGTTGACCTGTGTCCAATGTACTGGTATTGCTGAGTCTTGTTCCTTGACTCCCTCTTCTCCACAAAAACAGTTAGAAAATGCAACTGACTAAGGGCTAGGACTGCCTTTTCTAGAAAATAGAGATGACTTAAAAGATCATTAACTGAAGAGTTTGGTGCCTTCTGAACAAAGAAGCATCTGTATCTTCCGAAATTCCCTTTCTGTCAGCAGCTGCAAATGTGTGGAAGGGCGAAAGCAAGCAGCTCAAACACTGAGAACCACTAACAGACCTCAATTGGCAGGATATGTTGACTTAACTGCAGTTGTGAGTAATGTTGGCTGCTGAGTAAATAGTTTCAACTTTAAACAAAGGTATTCCTTCACTGCCATTCAATAATAGAGCATTTCTCATGCCAAAATTTTGTTCTTAGTTTATGAAGATAAACCTAACCACAGAAGCTGGGTCTTATAAAATATAAAAAAACTAGTGGAAATTCAGAGAAATTCAGAGTTAGCCAAATAACAAGAATCAATCATAAGAATTGAGCAGTCAAAAAAAAAAAAAAAAAGCAAAATAAAAAGCACGGATTAGTCCTCAGTAAAAAAAAATGGGCATTTCTGAAGAATGACGTAGAAATCGATACTTTGCAGCACATACCAAATTCCAGAGGGAATCCATGAAGATTTGCTATTTCTCTTGGGGTAAAGTACCTCAGTTTTAGTGTTGACAATTTCATAAGCTTCTCTTCTTCTGGTAACTCCTCAATGTGTTTAAAGACTGATTCAAGCTATAAAAAATATTGAAAACAACAGATATCACTGATGGCAGGCCAAATAGGTAAAATTTAACACTCTCATCTTAACAGAATGTTTCTTTGATTATCACAGTGCCAAAGACAATAGCGTGTTCTGCTTGGAAGTATGACTGGTGGTGTATTTTTGCAGCCCGTATCTCAACACATAGACTTGCAAGAAAGAAATCCATGTTGCTATGAGGGCATTCATCATTTCTTCCTCCAGTTACAAGCTATACTAATAATGAGGCAATCAAAGGACTATAAACATTTGTTAATGACAAGATAGTGACTTAACATAACTCAATAGCAGACCATTCACAGAAATTAAGCTGTATGGATGCAGCTGTTTTAATACATCGCCTTTGAGATTATCCTGAGTTCCAAAGCTGCATTCTTCTTACGCTTAGAAATGCCATATACTATTAGTGAACAGCACACAAGTGCAGGAGGTGGTGCTTGTGTACAACACAGGCTTTGTGAAAAGTATCTTTGAATGATGATTCACCAAGACATTTAATTTTACCTTCCCAATGCCAAGACACTACTTTGTGGTGAACTTACTATCAACAGTAGAACTTTTCAAACTACGGTGTCTTCCCAGATAACTAATACTTTTGAAATTCAAACATGGTAAACATTTGACAATATTTACTGGATCATCTGTGTACAAAAAATGGCCCTAGATTCACAACACTGTACTGTAGTTTATCCATAGAATTAGTAATTTTTAATGTTTTCACATACCCCTGTGAAACTTCTTTATAACACTACAGATAATAAAATAATAGCAACTCATATTCTCCAAAGAGAGAGGCACACATATGATCTTGATTTAAATAAACTGTTGTTTAGGAACACAAGTAAATCAATTCGAAACTCAGTTGGCATAAAATGTATGTTTAAAAACTCTTTTGTTATAATATTCAGAATAACAAAGAAGAAGACAGGAAAAAAAAATTTTAAACCAAGTCATTCTCATGTGTCAGTCTACACATTCTTACCTGTACATCTACTGCTGTCTGCAGAACCGAGCCTGTCCCTTCTACATAGTGTCCATACCTTAACAACAACAACAGCGTTAAATTAATATTTTCACTGGACCTGATAGTACTGACAACTGCAAAGATGCAGGGAGGTTACTTAGGTTCCTTTGCTTTGATTAACAAATTGCATCCTGGACAGATAAAGCAATAGGCGTTGTTATTAACAATGCTAACCCCTGGAGTGCAGTAGCCTCTGAACATGCTCTGTGGGGATGAGGCTGCAGTCATCACACAAAGGTTTATCCACACTAACGCCTTACATAAGGCAACCAGGCAACTATGTAAGGCCAAGGAATTCAAGCGTAGCATGATCAGAAAGGGCCATCTACATTGCACAAATCAATTTTACGTTAAGGAAGAATGTGTTAAAGGCCAAATGTTCCAAGGGGTTCAGATCAGCTCTCTGTATTCAAAAGGAGGACCATTAGTGTGAGCCTCCAGCTTTTGTATTAATCCATTAGGAACAAAGTAGTTCAGTCAGGTTTAATTTCTGGTTGCTTGTGGATTTTCCACAGAGGGAAGAGACTAGGGGATGGCCGGGCATCTGTGCAGAGCAGTAGAAGAACAAAAGAAAGAAAAAGAAGGAAGAAAGAAAAAAATTAAATCCAACAGTAAGCAAATTTACATTCTAAAACCATATGATAGCTTTTTTGAATGCTTTGTGGTTGACTGCATAACAACATGTTTACTCTGTAGACTCTTCCAGGCTATCATTTAAATATAATTATGGGCTTTCAGAAACATGCTTGGCTGGTCTAACGATGATAGTGTTTGACTATCCTGAACAGAAAAAGACCGAGTCAAGTCAACAGATGGCTTTTGCACAGAGGAAGAGCTTCAGAAGGTCCCCCACATTAGAATGATGTGGTCTGCATCAACCATTAACAGACACTATTCTCTAGTTTTATCTGTGCATCTGTAAAGACAGTTACAAAGGTCTTTTGCTCCATTTGGGGCCCATTCTAAAGCAAAGAACTGGAACAATTTTTGTTTCAAGCCTTTCTAATTCCACAATGAATAAAGCAATGCTCTCCCTTCAGCACAGACACAATGACCCAGTACGGCTCAATCCTGAGAATTTCTTCTTCAGTTGGAAAAGGCTTACGAGTAGTTCTGCCAGTATCAGCAAGAGCAACGCTCATTTTAAAATAAAATGCTTACAAATCTTCCTTAGGATCAGAACAAAAGACCATAAACATTGATAGAGATTAAAACCACATGGAATCGAACTGTGTTGTAAATACATCACCTTTAATTGGTTAGTTGCATTCTGAAAATTCGCTATTACGAAGTTTAACAATGTAATACACATAGCACTGAGGAATCTTCATCATCTTCTTACATAGCATCTGATCCTATTTCAGAAGAACATATCTGAGCCAAAATAAATAAATGAGGATAAATTTCAAAGTGGTATTTTAGAGTTTTATTGGGGAAAAAGAATCTTTTAATAGGATCCATGTTATATAAAATACTCTAGTCTAAATAATTGGCACTAGAGTACATAACTCCTCACCAAAAAAAAAAATCCAGTTGGTGTAAAAGTGGTTTGGGGCTGGGGTGGGGGAGGTGTTGGTTTAACACAAATGTGGGCAGATGGCCAATGTTAGGTGGATTGTTATTAATTATTACTGCAGCTGCTGACTACAGAAAAATTAACATTCCTACCTTAGACTCAGAACATAATTAAAGATGGGAATTTTTGCCACAGTAAAAAATGATGCATTGATTTTCTGACATTTCATTACCAGTTATAGTAAAAGAAGTTGGCTTAAGAAATTACAGTCTTCAATTTTCATCTGACTCAAGATTTCTCTGCCCCCTCCTTCATTTCTATAAGCTTTCAAAAACTCCTTAGTTTCATACATGTAATATATTCTTTCTGGGTATATTGTGCCCTATATTGCAACTAACAAAAAAAATAATTTCCACAATGCTAGAGAGAGTTTCTGTAACTAATATTACACTATTTTAGAAGGTATTGCTTCTCTTGTTAATAGCATATCAAGAATTTAGAAGTCCAGAATGATTAATCTAAAGAAGTTTTCATTTGCTCTGTCCTTTAAAATGGACAATTTCCTCTTACATCGTCAGTCACCACAGACATACTCCTAAGAGAAACCATGGCGTTTGGAGTCTCAAGGAACTCAGCAACCATTTTCCAATTGCCTAGGAGTCCAAGGTCAGAAGGGAACACAGGATCATCTGCTCAGTCTCTCATGCATCACAGGCCATTACATTTTGCCCTATACTCCGCCAAAGCCTTTCAGAAGACATACTGGTATGACAAAGGCAGAGAGGCAAAAAACACTGATGAAATATCGGTGTTTGAGGTCCCTGAATTAGCAAGGACTGGAGAAGGTATATCCCAATTATCCTCATTACAACCTTGCTGGAAATATCTGAAGACCAAATGAAAACCAAGGGAAATTTCTCTCCCAGTCTCAAAACTGATCATCAGTATGACTTGTATGAAAGACACCAGACAGGCATCTCAGCAGAGGGATTCTTTGTACTGCTGGGAGTGCTGTTCTGCTCCATTCAGGGTCCTCTTTCCTAAATCTGATGCCTTTGAGAAACATAAAAACAGAACTCCTAGAACCCATACAGCAGCAACTTATTCTTGGCCTCAAAGTGATGTGGATGAAGCCTGAGATGTAATTATAGTCTTTCTCTTAATGCAGAGCTGTAAATGATATGACCACATTGAGAACCATGTTGGAAAGCTTCCTTCCCAAAGGCTCTTAAAAAAGGAAACAAAGACAGTACATCAGATTCCTACATTTTGAGCCAAGAACTACCACAACTATTTGGCCTGGTTCCTTCCACATCAGCAGAAGGGCAACAGTCACATTCTGTGTCAGATTTCCCACCACTATATATAAAGACTTCATATTAACTACTCAGGAGCCTCCTTCGGTGTGATTTTGATGAACATGACCACAAACTACTGAGACAGTCTAGTGAAAGCACAAGCGGCCAATTTATTTCTGATGACACTTAAGGATATATAAGATATGTAAGAGATCGTTCTTGCCTAAGGCTTTTATTTGACTATTCTAGCTAAGAAAGAGGTTCCACAAGATGCTGACTCCCCTAGTCAACTCAAGAGTGAGGGCAGAAAAGGTGTATGTCAATGGGAGCTGGGGGAAGGGCTTTCCTGTTGCACAAATTTTGAACTTTTGAAATTCTTTCTCTTCTCAGCTTTTTTTATCATCAAAAAATTAAAAATCACAAAATCCACAGGAACTCTGTCAATGTGGCAGTCTAATTTCTACTAATTAAAAAAAAAAGTTATAATTAGCTTTAAGTCATCAACTAAGCCATTTTGTCGAAACATTCTGCTAATTAAAAAAAAAAAATCTAATTTGAAAAATTCACTGATATTAACATTTCCCACAAACTTCCACAAACTTCCAGGCTACAGCTGGCATTTTCCAATATAAATGCATTCAGGGAAAAAGCTCTGGACCAGTTGTCTGCAGGGTTTCAGAACACTCGTCAGCCTCTGGCAGTCAAACTCAAAATTGCAAGGTACAAATCAGAAAACTACTACACAGAAAAGCAGTGATGTTCTGCTCCACTCAACACGATTTGTAATGCAGCAACCTAACTGGTTTTATGACATATGGCCAATCTACTGCTATTCTGACCTACACAGCTGAAAAATCCAAGAAATCAATAAAAAGTATAGTGGAGACAGTTTTAACGAAGAATGGATCTGTCATACATGACACTTTGTAACTTCATTGAGCAATATAAAGAAATTAATTAATGAATCAGTACTATACCAGTCTACTGGAACCATATTTCCGCAGGGGTAATTAAGCTTCTGTGAAGGTCAACAACAAATGGCACTGTCTTTTGTGAATGCCTTTTTGGAGTGAGCACATGATGTTCTGCCAGATGGATTCTCATGCTGGCATTCCACTGGACCAGGAAGCACACTATATACGGAGATTTTTTTTCAGAGGCCTGGGTTTTTTTGATGAAATGGCTCTCCTTGTTTTTACAGTACACAAGCAAAAAACACACTTGAAATTTCAGGGCATGATTCAGCAAGACATTTTCTTTGCAACTTACCCTTTTGTAAAGCATGTGGATCTCCGGCAGGTGGGCTTAACAATGTCTAACAAGAAAGCATAGCGCAGTAAGGACTTGGGTGGTAAAAAATACTGACTCATTTCTTCATTTTCATCTTCCAAGAAACCTTTCAGCATTTGAATAGAGGAATCATTGTCCTGACCGTGTTTCCTTTCCATTTCTTCTACTGTTTCAAGCTTAAAAAGAAAGGGCCCTTTTGGTAAACTCTTCTTGCTGCTGCAATCAGGACCAACGTTTGGATCCAGATTCTTCTCTTCAGAAGACAAGGAACAGCTAGCTTCATCCACTTTGTTAGTGACTTCATCCTTGAATAAGTCTTCTTGATCCTGATCTGGGAATCTTGTCAATATCTAAGAACAAGTTGTGAGAAAAAAATTAAAGAACAGCATTTGCTAAACAACTTGCCAGCTAAGTGGCAAGTAAGAATTCCTTCAGAGATGCTCAGAATAAAGCAAGTAACTGTTTGATGTTATTTTCATGAAGATTTCAAAAAATATTAGCATCAAGATTTGCTGACCTACCAGCAATGACGTCAGGAACAACCGTAAATAATTGCCTTTGCAAATTGACCTTTCCAAGGGTGTGAAAAAGGTAGCAGAATGCATTGTTTTCTAGCCCACTATCAGCTACTGTCCCCCAACTGTTTAAAGCCATCTAAGCCACTGGCATGCATTTCAGTCCTTAAAAAAACCTCAGTATCCAGGCTGAAAGAGAGAGACAGAATTTAACTTTTCTGCTGATAGCACTTATCCCTCCCTCCACTCATCAACACACACCACTAAACTGAAAATTTATCTCTCAATCTTTATGAAACAAAGCAAATTCAAATAACACTAACAGACTCACCTGACCAGGAGCTTGAAAGGAAAATGGTTCTTGGTGAAGCTTTGCAATTAGAAAATATCGCAGCCTAGAATTGGGAATGCCAAGCTGTAAGCAAAATCCACAAACCTTTAGTCCACGCGATAAAGAGAGAAAAAGTGGTCTATAGCATCATAAGAGTTTTCTACAATTATATATTAGTGTGTCTAGTGTATTATTACTGTAGATTTTGCAACTTCAGAGCTATCAGTATTAATTGATAATACCTAAACTCTTATAACTTATTCTTTGTACCTCATGGTTTTGACTTTTGCTGTAAATGAACAGGAATGTAAACAAACTTTTATGTGAGGTAATAAGAAAAATTACATGCATCACGATTTCTTGGGACAGGTAATACCTGTTTTCTATAAAAAAAGCAAAAAGGTGTCTCCTTGCCTTTTTGAACAAGGAATATTAAGACATCTAACAATGAAACAAATGCACTACAACTGGTTTTCAAGCTACCCTCTATCAGCTTCTCTCAGATATATACAGTACTTCACTGATTCCATTCAGTCTTGCACAATCTGAAATCTGTCTCAACTTTTTTTTCAGTTGCCAGGGAAACACGCAAACAAAGTCCCTCCTCCTACAAATGACAGTCACATTTTCTGTGCTGGGAAATTCACAGACATCAGCACTTCTGAAGCAATGAGGCTCCTGCAGGGAAAACCACCTTCTTGGTCATGGTGTAAATTCATGCTTTGTCAAAAAATATCAAATGGTAGCAAAGGAATACAGGACTAGGATCCAAACAGTAACAGCAGTATGATTATGCTAGTATACTGATGAGAAATCAGAAGTCATGCCAGATGGCTTTCTCATTCTGAAGAGTGTATCTTCAGCTCGGGGCATGACTCTCTTCACTAATACAATAGATCATTTTCAAGCATTCTTGGGCTCAGTGTAGTTTGAACAGTTAAGTAATATTAGAGCAATTTTAGTACTCACACAGGTTGGAGACAGGAGAAATTCTTGATATTTAAATCCACATATTTCTAATGTTCGCAAAAGTTCATTTCTGGCAGTGAAAAGAATCAAAAAGCAGTTACTCCCTTCATACAATCTTTAGACCCTTTTCTGTCCTAAATAAAAAACACATTAAATGGAACACCTCAGGTACAAAGACATTCAGCACATTCAGTGAAAGAATTGGATACAGAATTACAGATATGAAGTCATCCATCTCTGAACTTGAGGAGACAACAAAGTTCAGTGTTACTGGAGCCAAAAATGACTATTACACATTCACAGGTATCTCACATCTACTTTGGTGTAAATACCCCTTCAAAAAACATCCCATCTGTAGGAGCGTACTTATAGTGTGTCAGCAAGGAAAATAATCGGAGTGCAACACATTCTCTTTATTGTGAGTTATAAAACAGGACATCAAGCCCACTACAAATAGCTCCCTACTTCCCTCTGTTCACATACATGGCATCAGCTAAGCCTAACAAAAGGGCTAACTCAAGGGATGACAAAAATTGGTGGCTTTGGTAATAACAGTGAGGTAGCACTGTACTTTATAAACAATGGAAAATCACAGAAATTGAAATCTTCTTAAAAAGACTTGTCTCTCCTATTCTATGCAGACTGCACCAGGCTGGAACCATATAAAAAGCATGAGCTGTGACCCATACCTGGCACCATATGTCACACTGCATCCCATGCGTTGTAAGAGAAAGCAAGCATTCTGACTGGGGTGCTTTCTGAACTACAACTTGTTCCAAACACTGGCTAGCAAGGCATAGCCTAAGGAATTGCAGGGTCTACAGTAGCAGCCCGCACCTCCAACAAAGTGTTCAAGTGTTCCCAAAGGACTGCTGCATGCTTACCCAGGGCATGTCTCCCAGCTGCCCACCATATTCATTAAGGAGCATGATATGCATGCAGGGTGTCTGCTCTCTCAGCGCTTTAAGGAATGCTATCAAAAGATACTACTCTATGCCAGCAAAAAAATTAGAAGGAAGACCGCAACCTCCTGTCTCCTGTTTGCCCACCAGACAGGAGAATGCTCCTGCTGTCATTAGGTAACCTTATTGACAACTTCCCTCTTCCACATTTCAGTATATATACTTCATACTATATGTGTGGACCATTTGATGGCAACTCTGAACCAGTGATAATCTACTATCACCGAAAGTTCTGAAGAAAGCCCCCATACTGTACTGTGATCTTACTACAAAACACCATGAGCTCCTGTCATGGATAAAACCCCAAAACCTCCGAGTGCAATACCTATTGCTATTTTTCTTTGAAAATTAATACTGAACCTTTCTAAAGGACACAGGATCATCAAAAAAACAATCAATGAAGTCAACTTGTTATCACATATTTTATCTCCTTAGAGAAATAAATAGTTATTTAGCAAGTTCCTTTCACAATCTAAGATTTTCATTCCTAAATTAACCCACAGCTGCTAACTGTGCCATCTCACTATTTTGTTAACTTAAATTCTAAGAAATAAAAATCCTGCCTTCCCCTTCTAAAGAAGATGTCCTTTATGAGAAAGTAAAACCTGCATAAATTAGACTTTACCTTGCAGAAGAGGATTCAAATCCTTTAACATTTTCTAAAAGTAGGTATTTTGGAAGCTTCTGGAGCCTACAAGGAAAAAAATAAGGATCAACAAATCAGAGTAACAACATGTAAACTACATTATATTCATCCACAGATTTGTTTAGCTACAAGAAAGATCAAAGTATTTCCACATTATGCCAGCTGTTAAAGTTTAGCACCCTTAAGAAAAACATACCTCAACTTTCAAGGTTGCCTAGATCAAATCATTCCAAACTGAACTCAAAATGTAGACTGCTGGTAATTATAAAAAACAACAAAACCCACCTATGTTTATATGGACTGCTGTAACCTCCTGTACCCCATGCATGTACTTCTGAAAATGCTTATCGCTGTTCATTTCTGAAAGCATAATATTATTATGCAACAGATTGAGTTTGTAATAGAAAAGATAATTGTCACGGGGAAAAAAGATCACTATTTAGCCATGGAACAGAAAACTTTTGTTTTAACGTGCTTAAACCTGAAATCAATGTCAAAATGTCACATCAACTTTAGTGATAACACATTAGAACCAGTATTCATCTAATTTCTTTAAGAAATATGACACGTTTAGAGCTTAAACTGTAGATATCCTCAATTTTCTATACTTTTCCATTTTGAAGGGGGGGAATGAAAAGAGGTGCCTATGGTTAGCAAGATCAGTGCAGAAGTCTGGAAACTGGCTCATTCCAAAACCAACATATTAAATCTCTGGAGAAAGAACCATACCCGAACTGTGCCAGGGATCATTTTAACAATTTAGAAGCACAGATGATTCAGAATCAAGTCTCTGGGAACACTCTCTGGCACTGATTAATTCTCTAGTAAAGTTAATGCAGACATAGTATGTCTGTCACACATTGGGATCTCAGACCAGCATGTAGAAACAGGATACTAATGCCAACAGACAGCAGCTCCATGCTTATTTAAGTCAGCAAGTAACTTTGGACTTCCACTGGTACCAATCACAGCAGAATTTGTTTTAGCATGTTCTTAACTACCATAAATTAATCACATGAAGAATTAAAGACTAAAGCGTTTCACAAGAAATTGGAAAATGTACAAGATACTATGTCAAATTTAAAAATACTAAAAATAATAGTGAAAAAAATAACACTAAAATGAAAAAAGTAGCAGCAGACAAATTCCCCACTGAGGAATGGAGAATATATCTGTTGGTATGTTTACCCACACTCAACATCATCATCACCTACTATGAAACTTATTTTTAAAGTAATGAATCCAGAGCATAGCCTGAAATACAAGAGCTCATATGGGATCAACAGATCACAAGACAAGTAATCACTATACAAAGAGTTTGCGTTAAGTACTTGGCAGGTATTAACATCACAAATGTGTCTGTAAAAGTAGCACTTTGACATCTTAGCATTCAGTTTCCCCGGGTTATGGTTTGGGCATCACAGACAGTATTCGGACCTTCTGGGTCAGACTTTGTTTGCTGGCTGGATTTCCCAGGTCCTTCCAGATCTTGAAATTGTCCTTTCCATATCTCTAGTATTTGTCTTCCCAGGCTACCTTTGAGCCTCATTTCAGCAACATTTCATTATAAAAGGATGAACACAAGGTAGGAACAGCCAAGGGATGAGAAATTATTTTATAGTTTCCATAAACTGAATGAATGCCATACCACTTTAGAACACAAAGTGATAATTCCTATATTAAGAATTTCCCTTTTTGGGGCTGAAATACTCCATACTCAATGTCTGGCAAACATGTCATATCCAAAAAATACACAAACACTATCTCAGTAAAACATAAATCTATTGGAACTGAGAAACTGTGCAGAAGCCACCTCTTGAACATATAACAGACTGCTTACAGTAAGTACTGCCTCGAGAAACAACCTGCCCAAGGGAGATAAGCAGGGTCATCAGCAGGGTCTCATGGGGTGTTGAGATAAAGTGCGAGAGCCAAGCCCAGCTCCTTTGCACCGTCATGACGAAAAACATATGTCCTTCAGTGTCTAAAGTTTTGGTTTTGAGAAGGAAATGCTTCTGCCCTTTATCCAGCTAAGCCCACAGCAATCAGGAAGCAACATTTCCATATTAATGCACAACAATGTCCCAAAAGCAGCCAGCCTCTTAACTGTGTCTCAGTTTAACGGAAAGGAATACTGAGGTCAGGATTCCCTTAAGGATAAGGAAGGTACGATTATTCTGACAAATTAGGAACTTACACACTATCAGCTGCTTTTAATTTATCATTTTGAAAGGTCAGTCTGGAGGACTGAGTTACATTCCTTATTCCAGAAAAGACATCCATTCCAACTTTCGGAAATCCACACTATCTCCCTGTTTTTGTGTCTCTGATAGAAGCAGGGGAATAATCATCATCTTTCTTTTTACCTAGTGTCCAATTTAGTAGGGTACAGAACCTGTATTATTGTGTTCTGCCACAGATTTCATGTGTGATATCAGCCAAGCTACTCAGCCCTTCTGTGGCTGTGTTCTCTATCTGTTGATGACAAAGGCAAAGAATTAATCCCATTAAATGTTGCTGGCTGCAAAAAAAGTTGTTTCGGCAAAAAGGATGAAGACCCTTTTCTCCCAGTGTTAACAGTTTGAGAGAAAGGCTGTTGTTGGTACCAGTTTCCTTCTATGCAGAAATCATTCATTAAAAAAACCCAAACAAACCAACCAACCAAAAGACAGCGAAACCTCCCTTCATCCTCCGCCAATTCTGAGAGCGGGGAACATACAGAGAAGAGCTGTCCCAGTTTCCAGCAGAAGCAGGACTACCAGGAATGGTAAGTGTCTGGTGGACTGTAACTGATGCAAATTCTCAGGCTCATGCCAGTCGGTGCCCAGTGGACATCTCAATCCAGAAGCAGATTTCTGCTGGATAATCTCCCTGAGCAGCTGCTTGCTCCACTTCCCTAGGAAGGGTTCTTACAGTGCTACGCATCTCTTCACAAAAAAGACTACAAGCATTCCTTAGAACTGATTTTTAACACTCTCAATAAGAACCATTTAGGTCAGCAAAACCCGCTTTGTTTGGATTTACTGTTTCAAAGTTAAACACATAAATAATACAAATAATTATGGCTATTTTATTAGGAACTGGGGTCTGACCAGGCAAAAAATGACAGATCAATACAAAGACAAGAACATTGTTCAGACACTGTGGTGCTATTTGAATTCTTTAGAATTGCTATTCAAAACAAAAGATTGTTCTACAAACCAAAAATACAGGATCTGCCCCAAGAAATCTAGAAGCAGCACCCAAGAGACAGAATAGACGCTTTAAGATAGAATGGAAGGGGACGGAAGATGTGTCATGCAGTCAATAACATATTTAAACAAACCTTCAAATGTTACCTATTCAAAAGGTGACTAAATGTTGAATCAAAGCTTTTTTAACCTGGTATTTCAAACAATTTTCATGTTTCCACAATGCCCATTAGCAAACTATATTACCTATGTCTGCTTCTACATAAAGTCAGTGCAAGTTTGATGTTGAACTGAAAAGAAATAACTCAATTTTTTTCATTTATGATATAGCCACAGTTTAAACAGACGCACAATAAAAAGAAAACCAAACAATAAAAGCATATACAGTAACTATGAGATGATAATGGCATTAGTAAAATACAAGTATTTGTAAGTTAATATGATCGTGTGAAAACAAACAAGTAATACGATGCAATACTAGTAGTATCCCTGTAAAACATTATAGATTACTTGTCTCACTGAAATATAAAGGACCTACTTAGTGACAACAAAGGCTTAAGAACTGAGGTAGAAGTTCATTTATACCTTGGGAGAACATCAAGGATATAGAGAAAGCTCTTTGTCCGTGGATCAGATATGTCACCTTGCAGCCCAATTCTAAGAAAGAATAAAGAAACACCTGTATATTACTCAGAGCACACTGACATTTGACTTACATTTTTCTATAGAATGCTGACACTTTTTGCTTTGAGTTTCAAAAAGGGATTCTGCAAAAGCATCATGTACAGCCGCGAGGATCTGCTCACAGAGGCAGTGTCCTAAGAAATGCTCTAAGGAATGAAAGTCTGCCTCTGGAATCCATCAGCTCACAGCGAGGTTAAAATTGAAGCACTCAGTAATGAAATCCGCTCCCCAGCTTGCAAAGCGTTTAGCATTCCGGTCTTGTCCAGTAAACCCCTTGAACATACTTGGCTCTGAAAGAACAAAAAAACCCCACTGGGTTCCTGGGAATACCCCGCTATTTTACACTGAATATATTACATTATTTCTATGAATTAAAGCCACAGTGCTCACCATCTTGCAGGATTGAGCCCCATGTGAGTAACTTTGTAACCAATTTTGTAACATTAAACTGGAATCCTCATGTAGGTTATAAAAACGATAACATAATATAATGACTCCAGACCTGTGTTCCTCTCACTTATACTTGCATTAAAAAGAATAAAGCCTTGGTAGAAGAGCTTTAGCGCATCTCTAATTTAATTAGTCATACACATATTTTTCTTTTCACTGTATTATTAAAAAAATTTTGAAGGAATGATTCATACATACATCATAGGTTTGCACAAACACATCTTTATAGATCAGCAACACTTTGGAGGGGTTTCTTTTTAATCTTGGAGCACTCAATGAGATATGCTTTCTTGCAGAAGCCAGACTTTTTCATGAAGCTACTACTTTGCATGAGTACAGCTACTAGAATCTTACCTCCACTGGTCACTGCTGTCAAACGATATGAATTTGAAACTGATCTGACAAATAACATCTCAGTAAGTTAAGCTCTTAATCAGCAAGATATTTCTCTGTATTATCCACAAAATAATTTCAAACCCATTATCCTCCTAGTCTTAGCTAAAATAGAAATATTCCTCAGGATAAACTGTTTGTGTACATGTGCAATTTTCAAAGTACAAATAAAAACAGATGACACTCTTGGTTTCAGGCAGAAAGTGAGAAATTCCAATCCCCCTTCTGGCATTGTCCCAGGGAAAAATTAGATAGATATCTAAAGGGAAAGGAAGCACTCCTAAACAGTAAAATCTTTGAATTTCACTGTTAGAGGAACAATACATTATACAAAATATGTGCTGTAAGAAGCTTATGTAAACTGAGTTAAAATATTACAAGAAATGTGATCAATAATTAAGATTCAAATTGCTACATTTCTTCCAGTTCAGTAAACATCATAGTGAACAGAGCTACAACATTTTTGCTTAGGAAGAGAAAGATACACAGATGAACCACACATAGTGTCACTCTTGAAAACATTTTTCCTTTAACAGTACATACTGTAATAACTGCACTTTTCTCCGAAGTGTGCTATATTTACCTTGTAAATGGTTGACAGGGAGGACTCATCAAAATCATATCGAAAGATAATCTGTCAAATTCTTTCAGTGTTATGCCCTGAATAAGGAAAAAAATAGAAAAACGTTGAGTGCTATAAACTGTATGAAACTCTCAAGTCATTTTTCAGATCAAACTACCCCTCTTACTTCCACTATGTGCTGCATCTAGTAAAAAACTACCTAATCTCCCATTTGACCTAATAATTTTAATTTTTTTCTACCTTGGCAAACTATACAAAGCAAATATGCATTAATTGCTTTGAATATGAATCCAGAACACTAACAATGTTAGCATCTATACATAATCTTGAGGTTTTTATCTACTCATTCTTTCCAAAGAGGTGTGTAGTGGTTCTTTCAGTAGACCACAACAAAATACTGACTAGCTATTTCTCCCCATTCCTCCTCTAAATAAAAGCATCATTCAGATACTTCAGATAAGAAGTCTTTGTACATCAAAATCAATACTAGCATATTCAAAACAGGTGAAAAAATATTAGATCTCGAAAGACAAAATATCTTAACAGAAAAGTAGCTCAAGCGTTAACATGACAACTTTCACAACTCCAAATTGTGGGATTTAACTCTTAGGAGCTCACTACCAACGCATCTTATAAAGTTTACTTCATTCCAGTTTTTGCCCAGTAAAAACCCCTCAAAGATATTATATGGCTGAAAGCTCTACTCTGCAAAAATAGTTCTGTTCAGAGAAGGAAGAATTAGGTCTGTAGCATGAATTAATTACATCGTTCCTCTAGACTAAATTTTAACCAATAGAAAAAGGACAACAAATTAAAGGGCCAAGAGGAGAGAAGAAGGATAATGATCAAGTAACTATGAGCTGGACAAAGAAATCACTGCCTTACATATTTTGAGAGCTATCTATATAGCAAATGTAATATAACTGCCCACAGAAACTAGACAAAAGCTGCTATTTTTTTCCAATAAATTTAAAGGTGGTCTTACTGACTGTAATCTGCTCTTAACTACTATAAGGAGATACAGGCAAGCATTCTTCTTTTCCTACATAAAAGTGTACACTATCATTTAGCCTGTTATTATTGAGTGCTGAATAAGCATTTAACCTTTAGCCATGTATTTAAGTCTTACTTAAGCTGGTATCTTAAAACAAATTCAGTATCTTTTACTGTCATGCTGTAAAACTGTAAAAGAAGATCAAGAAGTATACTAACTAAATCCCAGCAAAAGGACATGCCTAGTTTGCCCATTAATTATTAAAACAGAATCCAGTTTTACCTAGTCATTCTTCAAATAATTTGAAAATGGGACATAATTTCTAAAACATTTGATGTATTGAGCCCACAAAACAAATGCAAGACTGTCCCATCCAGTATATTTTCTTGTGTTTTACTAAGCTCAACTATTACTACAAAACGAAGGCATGCCTCCAAGTAATTTAATTAAATTCTTTCAAAATCCATAAAAATATTTTTTTAATCTAAAAATATGATTTTTGTCATTCCTTTACTGCTGGCAAGCATTCCTCTTGACATTCACATAACCTTTCCTGATGCAGCAGTCAAGACTGTCAGGAAAAGACTGCAATGTGAATATACCTCTAACTTCAACAAGCAACCATAGCACAAGAAGTCAAAGTTATTGTAAAACAGTTATACTCGTAACAACATAAATTAAATATTTTTGGTTTTCTTGTTACTAATAAGGACAATGAAGACAACTTACTTCTACAAATACCGGACTAGAGTAAAAAAGACATTCATTACTCACCTCAATTGTCTTTGCCCATAATGGTGTCCCGGGAAAGTTGTGCTTATAAACTTCATTGGCAAGAGTGTTCACATCAACAGCACCAACAACTTCTGCAGATGTGCAGCTTTCTAAAATTAAAAAAAGAATTTGAAAAATATCTTTTCTACTCTTGGAAACGTGTTTTTATTCAGTTGCGTTACAGCTATGCACAAAAATAAAAGAGAAATCACATGATCAAACTCTGCTGTCTTGCCTTTAAAACTTTATAGGAAAAATACACCATGTTTCTAATTGTATGGCCAATACTTCCCTTCCTTATATATACAAAAATGGAAACTAACTGTGCACCACTTAATTTGTAGAAACAGTCACACATAAACTCCAAACAGGGTGCATCTCTACAACACTCCCACCTGCACGCATCTGGTCTCTGTGGACACCAAGTTCCTTAGCTATAGGAACGCAGCCTGAGTCAACCTGCCAAGCCCCCTGCCACTGCCTGAGCCTCTCCAGCCGCTGACATCTTACAGAAACTAAATGTGTTATTTTAAATGTATACTACTTCTCATTGTGAAAAAATGGCACCAATAAATATATCTGAGGTACGTCTACTCTTGCAATAAAATATTAAGAAGTTGCCTGAAGAACATTTGTGCTTATATTCCAATAAAACCTTGGGCCTTGAACCCAACTCCTGCCTCCTTTGAGTTCAAGATCCCCAAAATATCAAACGCTTTGAAGGACAACATTTGGCAGCTCCTCTTCTCTTGATATCAAAGACAGAGGTGTTATTGAAAAGAAGAGAGCGCAGTGTAACAAATCTACTGACAGCTAAAATCCTGAAAGAAAAATACACTAAAAAGAATGTAAATAAGCAATGTTTAATTTATAGAGTAACAGAATAAAAGGTTCTACAGAAGCTAAAGACATAAAACAAACAGTGTTTAATCCACTGCTCATCATGCCACACTATTTATTATCACTAATCACAATACCTTCACTGAGGCTTTTTATTCAGGAAGACAGGCTGTGGTCACAGTTCTAGCCACAGGCAGAAAACAGTGACCATACTTCCTGATACACACGACCAGTTTCAACCACCAAGAAATTTACATTATGGTCACCATTAAAAAGCCCCAGATGAAACACAGGCAATTTTATTATTTTTTTTTAAAACAAAAGAAACAAGGCAAATAGCCACATGCCTCTGCACAGTCTCACAACATGCTCAAGTAACACATTAACAAATGACCTTATGAGACATCTTATGAGTTACTGCTGGTCAGCTAATTATTTACAGTTTGAGAGGATGAAAAAACAAGTATGATGTCCCCAGTGGATTTGAGTGATGTAGTTATCACCCATCTACTATCTTTCAGGTTTTGAGGGCCATCTTATTCAAAACTAAGATGAAAGAGAAATCCGCGTATTGGAAAGATTGTAGCAGACATTTTAACAAAGACCAAACTAGTTCTTCTGGGTTTATCTGGTGCAAGAGAGCAAAAAGAATAGCAATTTCACAAGAAAAAGATTTACAGATGGCTGCCCATCAAGGGTCAAGATACAAATCATTCCTTGCAGTTACTATCTCGACATTTTGACCACAAATTGTAACTGAAGCATTAAATACAGGTGTGTCCACGAGGACAACAAAATGACTACACCTGAGGTTACAGAACAGGTAAGTTAACACTGACATCTAGCGTGAAAACAATGTCACCTTAGCAGGCCCACTGTCTCAATTTACAAGCATATTCAAGAACTAACACTTTCATCTTCCTAAAACAAAGCTGCAACACCTAAGTATTGGGAACAAACCTCAAGTACTGTTTAAGAAACTGCTTTTCTCCTTTATTCTTTCAGTTCTTAAAACACGTTGTCCTGACAAGCTGCTCCTTACTGTGTGTTCCAGGCACTCCAGAAGAAAATGAACAAAAAAAGAAAAATATCAAACCCTTCAAATTATTCTCTAAATGAATATATAGTTTAAAAATGACAACTGGAAAAGCAGGCAGTGTGCCTTCTCTCACAACTCATGATTCAAACACTCATCCCTTTTATTAATATCAATCCAATCCCCCCTCTGAATACACACAAGAAGAAAGCAGTACTGGGGATTTGCACAAGGGACTTCACAGGCCCAAATGCCTGGAAACACTGAAAGAGAGCACATAGCTAATAGTAATTTACAGAATTCCCTTGCAATAAAATGTTCAGTATAAACCAGAGATGCTAACCTGCACAGAAAAGGGACAGGAACTTTTCCTGAACTTTTCCACCCAACATCCTCTTTTCCTAATTTGAAGGCCTGATAATTTTTTCAAAGCTGCTTCTCCTCCTTTTCAAAAGCTATGGCTCACTTGGGAGTTCCTGTTACAGAACAGACTCCTTCTAAAAGCTGATTAAGCGTATTTGTGTGAAAATACCCTGGAAACGCATGAAGGAGCTCGAGCAGACAAGCAGATCTCACACATCCAACCTAACAAAGAAAAGCTTGTGTAAATTTCAAACAATGCAAAAATGAAACACTTTTAAAGAACTCCTCCTCCTGAAATTTAAATAACTTTGAATGTTAAATGGTGATATTCCGTTTTGCTATAGCAATTACATTTATTACTTGAAAAATGACTGTAGGAATGTATCATAAAAAAGACTGAAAGCAGAATCTAAAAAAACAGAATCAAGACTGTGTTTAACTATCCCCCACTGACAAAAGGCACAAAAGCAACTCAGGAATATGAAAATGCTGCTGAATTGCTGACTTAGCGAGATGTTAAATCAACTCCCCAAAATATATCGCAGAACTTCAATACAGAAACAGACACAGCTCTTGGAGAAATTTTTTTTCCAAATGAGTACATCCAATTTTCAAAAAAGTCATTTAAGAGAATCAGAACTATGCAGAAAACAAATTAATTTTATGTAGACTAAAGAAAAAAATAATACACATTTTCTAAGTGAAACTAAGTAGCTGCTGGAATACTTGATTTGCAATATTCCTCAACACCACTTGAGACTTTGCATCTCTGAACGAGATGTTGTAGCTCAAAAGAAAGCCACAGGCATGATGGGGAAGTTACTGAGGGAGGTGTTACTGCTTATTTTTAGGCAGACTAGATTGTAATACTCTGTCTTGGCTGAAAGCAGATGAACTCGAATTTGTACCATCCTATTAGGGCAGTACTGATTTTGCACTTGAGTCTTAAAATTTCTAGGATCCACATAGCAGGAACTCTTTAACTGTTATTTAAATTGCCTAAAGAGGCAGAAATCAAACTTTGAGTTCCAATTCTCTATTTTGTTGCATATACAATGCTTACTTCAGTTATGAAGTAGTCACTCAAGTGAAACAGATGCTGCTGAAATAATTGGAAAGTGTGGCATTTGAAACAAAGGAAGACATTAGCTTCTGATTTGGAAAAAACAAACCCAAAGGGCGTCATCTTCAAACACTGAAAATAAAACTTCTGACGTTACAATATCTGTCCTATTCCTTGTCAGAATCAATTCCTTTGTCACATGTTTCTAGCAGACCTTAAAATTAACATAGATCTGTTTATATTCACCACTGTACTTTTGTAATAGAATCATCAATGTCAGCACACCACATGAAATACACGGTGTTACACCAAGGGCAGAGCCTGGCAGATCTCAGCGTATTGAAAAATCAGAGCCAGAACAATTATCTATTCTAACAGGTATATGGAAACAGATGGAAAAGGGAAGATTAGTCACATGTTTTGTCAGTCCTGTTTCCTTTTAAAATGGACAGCAAAGATTTCATTTAGGAGTTGTCAGCTCTTGGCTGAAATGATTAGGCTGAACTGCCCATGGCGACAGTAAACACAACTATCAGTAAACTTGGTACTTGCTTCCTGCAGGACACTTAGCAACTTTTTCAGTGCAGTATTTGTACATGATTTGTTCATGTTCAGCCATATAAACTATGCAAATTTACATTATAGCACAACTGGCACCATCCTGTGCTACCAAGGGCTATATTTTAGAGAAGCATTACATCAAAATGAATTTAGGTGTAAAAACTTGCTCAAAGCGGCAATATTTTTGTTTTGCATTGTGCTGAATCCTCAAGTTGCTTGCCAGTTTTGTCTCCTTTGTTTCTCCTCCTGAGACAGCTATGCTCAGTGTAATTATGCACACCAGTTTATTATTTTGTGCAATTCACAGAGATAACCAAATAAAATGAATAAACAGAGATGACAGACTACATGAGACTTGAATTCTTATTCTGTAAAATTGAACTATAAGAATTGCAGAGAAAAAAATATCACTGTCTTTATCACTGCAAAACTATGGTATTTTTTAAAAGATGTCCTTTCACATTTTATGCACGGACACTTTATTCCGTGACCTGGCAGCTCACAAACGCTTGTGGTAGAGACCTGGAACCCATTTTTCAGGGGAAAACTGCCTAAATTAATAAGCCAGTTTAAGTTTGTTTTGGTTGGGAATGAGGAAGAGCAGGCTGTTTGTTCAATGGAAAGTTGCTCAGGAAATGAATTTGTAGCCATAGATTTTCTAAAAATGAACTGCTGTATTCTTCACTGCAGAAACTCTGCACTTTATATATAAAGAATACATTCACACACACACACATAAATTATATAAAGTATCATAGGTTTAGACGTATATGATCTGAACATCGACCTTTATAAATATTGCAAAGCTTGGAGCACAGGGTAGGAAGAAGGAAGAAATGCACTTCCATCTCTTAGCTGCTTCAATCTTTCAAGAGTGTGAATATGAACAGACTCCCTGACTTCTGACCTCAATCAAGCTCAACTTTCTAAATTACGTCTTTTTGCATGTCTTTGCTGTTAAACTTAAAATACTATTATAAAGCATTCAAAATCTAAAACTAGAAATTCTGCATATGCTGAATTATCTACAGCTGAAGTATCGACACAGAGGTACACAATCCCCAAGATCTTTCTTTTTCAGTTTTGCACTAAAATCTAAATTCAGGAACAGCCTTCTTTTCGCTGTCAAAAAGAACCTGATGCAACTATGTAGCTACGTACTAATAACTTCGACATACTGTTAACAGAGAAAAACTTATGAGAGTATAAAGTTCCATTAATTTATTAAAATTAAATTATTTCTTACT